TTAATTATTTAATAAAAAGTAACTAAAATAAAACTTTTCTTTGTCGCCCTAAGTAGGAATTGACTTTAAGTTTTTATTTCGTATTACTTGTTTAAAAAGAAAATAGCAGAGTATTTCTTTATCTATATAAAAACTACAATTATTTATAAAGAGTCTTAAATTCTACAAAATATAAAAAATAAGGCTTTTTGTGGTTTGAGAAAGGGATACGCAATAAAATTTGTCTTGGAGCCCGTTAAAACCTTTGTTCAGCTTTGGATGTTCAACTTTACACAAATTAGTGTATAAGAACATTCTACGGTAGAAATTGGTTTTACTCCACCATTGCCAGATTTTTTTTTAAAAATTTTTTTGAAAAAATTTTACAGCCAAGGCATGTCTACACAGTATTAACACAGTACAAAATGTTTCAATTGCTAGAGTAAATTTTCTACTCACATTTATTAAAAATAATTTAATTATTCCGGATGCTTATGAACGCGAAAATATTTGAAATTATTTTAATTTTTTTAGAGAGTGGGGTAGAAATTTTTATACCTACAATAAATAAGTAATGTGATATCACCTGAAGTTGCTTAAAATACGAATTGAATTAAAAATTATTTGCTTTCCATCCATTTAAACAGCCAATAGCTGAAAAATAATTAAACAATATACAGGCCGGAGACTTGTGCTTCGAATTTCGCGATGTTGTGTCATTTAATATATGCACAAAACTGATTGAAAAATCTTCTATGATTCTTTCATTATTGTTGTTCGAAATGAGCTTACCTATAAAAATGACGCGATCGCTCTTATTTCTGACACCCACGGGAGGTGTTGAGCAGTTTCGAATAAAAACAGAACGAAATAGAACCATTCATGTTTTGCAATTCCGTCCATCGATTTTTTTTTTATCCGAATGAATATTCATAGAGAAAATGTGAAGAACTTGAAGCTTCTTTAACAGAAGGGGGTAATTCACACAAACATAAATTCTGGAATTTTATACACCTGTAAGAATGAAACTGACAAGTAGGAATCGATTTTGGGGGTCACAGATCACCCTACTGCACCCTAAAAAGATGTTTTTTATCATCGGAAATGGCTGAAAGAACGGCACTCGCTTGTGAAATAAAAAATGAATAAAATATTTTGATGTAGAAATTTGATTTGAAAATTTATGTCCTTGTCATAAAATGATTGTATGTATGTTTTTAGATTGAATTAGATTTTAATAATAAAATAAATTAGGCACTATGTTAAAAAATGCTAACTTTTTAAAGTAAAGTTTCAAGTTTAAAAAATAAATAAACAAGTAATATATAAAAAAAAGTAAAGTAAATTCCTACTTAAGTCAACAAAGACAAGTTTAATTTTAGTTACTTTTTATTAAATAGATAAATTTATTTTCTCTCATATGAAACTAAAATTAATGAACATTTAATGAATGAATTAATATTTGAAAAATTGTATTAACAACAAGTGTCATCCACAAAAAGTTTAAAAAAATGTATTTGATCTTAAGTGGATGAATGAAAAGTATTTTAATTAACGATTGAAAATGTGAACAAGGTATATGGGTGAGTGTAAACTAATAGTGGGAATTGTATGAAAAGAATAAAATTGCATTAGAATTGTTTCTTAAAAAGCATCATGAGTACAGTGTAAGTACATAGTTGTTATCAGGTGCTTATGCTGCATCAAACTTTAATAATCCGTGGGAAGAAGAGCTTTTATTTGTCAACTTAATTACTAATTTTATTCAAGTGAAGTTAATAGTTAATAAAGTAAAAATAACTGTCGATAAATGTTTTCGAATTTTAATAAGTATATGCATTACAGATATAATAACGAACGGAATTTGAAAATTTTCAATGATGGTTTGTTTATTCTTAAAACTTTTGGCTGTTTGTAAAATGATTTGTATCAAATAGTTTGTATGTAATAATTGAAATGAAATAATTGTATTAAATAATTTGTATGAAATAATTTCTATTAGCTAACAGTTGGTAAAATAAAAATGACTGTCTATAAATGTTTTCGAAATTAATAAGTATTTGCATTACAAACATAATAGTGAATGGAAATTGAAAATTTTCAATGTTGATTTATGCTTAAGACTTGAAATGAACTTTTCATGAAATAAATGAGGATTTCACTTGCCAAAGCAAATTAACTCCAATCCCTGATTTTATTTTTAAGATTTTAACTTCTAAGTTTTGATTGATTCCTGATAGAATAGATTTAAAGCTAACTTCTCCTTTTTTTGTTCAATTTTAAATTAAAAGTTCTTGATTGATTTCTAACGGGCTTATTCCGTTATTAAGGAAAATATCCAATTAAAAAAAACATTAGTGTAAAGAAGACCGGACAATGGCATTTAAACCTTAAAAAAACAGTACAAAGAAAACTGGGTAAGTGTATACCTGGTAATGTTCCATACCAGGATACTATTAATATTGCACTGAGAGGCGCGAAAACTTTTCCCTTAATTTGGTGTTAAACCAAAAGAGACCATTCAAAAATTACATTTTCTAACAGCTTTTATTCCCTTTCTTCCTTGTCAGCAAAAATAAGCAAATCACAGGCTCTTGCTTACGTAAGAAAACTTACGTAACCGACCATTCTTACTGAATGACCATGCTTACGTAAAAAGGCTGCAACACCCTACCCTGGGTATTGCTCAAACTTTGATATTTGCTACAATAATCTAGCTTTGGATTAAATTGACTTAAAAGATGTAAGTATGCATAAGTCTTAATGCATTTTGCGATTTTTCTTAAAATACTTTTTAGGAATCTTTTACGTTCAGATATTTTAAAATTTTTCTTTTCTTTTTCCAAATTTAGTTTCTATTCCAAAGGGGAAATTTTTACCCTTGTAATTTTGGTTGCATTTTTATTATTTAGCTTTTTTACGAAAATGTTGAAAATAAAGGAATTGCAATGCCTTTCGGAAGCATCTCTCATACCTTTTGTCAATAAGAATAAGCTAATCAGAAACTTATTTGAATGACAACGCGCAATATTCGAACCATCTTATAGAAAAACTAATTGGATTTTTAACTTTTTGAACTCAATCTCAATTCGCAGAATGTTTTCTAGACAATAAAATGTGCAACTGAACAGGATATGTACATTTTAATTTTTTCTTTAGGAAAATACAAAAAAAAAACTGCATGTACATTTGGAAAAAAAGCACATCATAACAAGGGATAAAATTTAAGCCTAAAACAAAATAACGATTTTCATAATAATTTACACAAATTTCAATTTTGATACAATGCTGTTAAGATACGTGCAATTTTTTTTCCAATAAATAAAAAAACCACAGTGAAAAAAATACATAATATTTTGGTACTGTTTTAAAAATTTTACTAACATCGAGATAAGTTAACATTTTAACAATGATTCCTCAAAGAATAATGAAAACAACAAAAGTTTGTATAAAATAATAAATAAATCTTAAAATTTGTTTCTTCACAAATAACATCGAATTTTCACAAAAAATTCAACAAACAAATCTCAGAAAAATGTCAATTTTTCTTAAAAAATTACTTTTATAAATATGACAAGTCCATGAAATATAATTGAAGATCTTACGGGTATGAACCCGCCAATAGACACTTGCAGATCAAGCTGAATTTTTATATACAGTTCGGATTTTTTTTAATAATTGAATAATATGAAGCCAATATTTTGACTATTTTGCTTCTGTTTGAAAGATGACCTAAATTAATGAAAATATATATTTAAATATTAACTTAATGTGTATTTTAATACTAAATTATATAATGAGAATGTTATTAAATATCAGTAGAAATTTCGTCAAATGTGCCATAAGGAATGTTTAAAATTTTTTTCGTCAATATTTATTTCAGTTTCCGATGGAACAAAATTTTACTCTTAACATTTCTTACATAAATATTTAAATACAAAATAAACCATAACTAAATTCAGCATTATATTAATCAACTACATTTTTAAATACCAAAGGGAAAAATAAAATACTCGACGTAATTTGAAATAAATGAAAAAGAATTGAAAGTTTACTTCGCCTTTAAATACAGGGGAAAAAAACGCAAATTAAAACAATTTCTTTTTAATGTTCAAATTCAACAAATAAATTTTTTTGAATGTAGGTTTATGTAGAAGTATTAGAATATAAAATTAAAAAAATTAATTTTTAATTTAGCATTTAAATTTAACTTTTTAATTGCAACCTTTTTAAAGGAAAATATTTCGTATATGTATGGTACTGTGAATGATTGAAATTGGTAGTTAACTTTCACCGGTGAATGTTGACAATCACATAGTCGCTTTGGTAAATGTCTGAAATATATATCAGGTCCAGTTAAGTGCCACTTCCCGGTATGCATTTGCCCGGTACTTCGAACACTGATGTTTCTCCTAAAATATCCTCAGCAGATATTAAAATATGGAATAAATATAATATCAACTAATAAATTAATATCAAATCGCAATAATAAATATTTCTGACATTCACCAAAGCGACTGTGTGATTGTTTACATTCACCGGTGAAAGTCGACATTCTCTTGATTTCATTCATTCACGGTAACGTATACATTCCCGATTTAAGATTAAATAAAACGTTACTAAAAGAGATCTGCGATGCGAATAGAACTTGGCTAGGTGAAGAAGAAGAAAATATTCTTTTTTGATAATCACTTCGAAATAGACAAATTTAATACATTATTTTTTTAACATAAAATCCTTGTTAGTAAAAGAACATATTAAATGATAGATTTGATCAATTGAAGAAATTCGGGTAAAGCAAGTAAATAAATACAAAGAATAAATAAAAGGTACAAATAAGGAGAGATCAGAAAGCTTACTTAGAAATCATATTTTTTTTCCGGTTAATCGCTTCTTTGAAGACTCGGCAGATTTAACTCATGTTTTTAACTTACTTCTCTTCTGTATCTAACTTTTTTTAACCCTTTCGTTAAGGCAGTCTGCGCCGCGAAGTATGCACATTGCATGTCGGTTGTTAATTGATGTACAGATTTTCTTATTTAAGTCTTACATAATCGATGAGTTTGCAAGCATTATAAATAAAAATGCAATCAACTTACAAGATATATTAAGCGCATCATTCCAAATATACTTTTTATGGTATTAAAGGTTATCAAATAGCATAACGCTAATGTCGGTACGACGCTCATAAATACGACTCTACGTAATACGGAGCTCGTGCACCCAAGTCATCACGTAGATGCCGTCTAAGTTCGGCGAGCGTGCACACAGATGCCGGTGAAATACGGCCCTCGCAAGCGTTAAACATCAAGTGGACGCCGAGTTAAACATTATCAAATATCGAGTAAACACTATCAAAAAAATAAGTTAAACACTAACAAAGGTATAATTTCAAATTACTTCAATTAAACTTTTCAATTCATTCCGAATCATAAAGTTTTGATTTATGGTATATATTTCTTCTGCCTTCAAAAAAGTATTAAGTTAGAATATCTTGTTAAAGAGAAAACCATTAAAAGTGGCTGCAAAATCAAGTTAAAATGGTGAAAAATGTACAGATTTTTAATAGAACATTGTGAAAGGAAAACAAGGATTGACATATATTTCGTATAAACAACAAGTGAATGGCATTGCACTTGAAAAAAAAAATTAAAATAAAAAGTCATACATAGTGTTTAGGTTTTATACAACGCTTAAAAATAGCTGGTTTGATATATTTAGAAAAGTCCCAGAGTTAGGCCGAAATGTAATTGATTACAAGCAACCCCAATTCAGATTATGCATTGTGGTTTAAAAAAATCACCATTTTGATAACAATATAATATTTTTTATTATAATTTTAATTAGTTTATCTGACACTCTTAACAGTTCGCCAATTTGCTAAAATGAATACAAATTCTATTCTCCCATCAAATTATTACTTTTTAGAAACTACAAAAACCACAATTTTTAATTTTTTTATATTTCCTTTACTAACAAATTTCCAGCTGCTAAATGTCCATACAGAAAATTAAAACATTTTAACTAAGAATAATAATCCATTCAAAAAATAAAATAAATACGTTAATTATCACATCATTCAAAATTAAAGTTGATGAACTTGTACTAATTACAGTAAAAATTATATTGGAACATCACTATAAACATTTATAAATATTTTCTTCAAAAACATTCGAATTGCTGTGTTTTTTTTGTTTTTTTTCGAAAAGTTTGGATATGCTGGAAGACTTGAGGTAGAGAGAAGATTTTTTTTTCTATTCCTTTGAATATTCCATCAATATACCTGAAATAAAACATAAACACATTTTAGTTACTTTTCATAAATTAAAAATTAAATTAATTTTTAATTAATTATTTAATAGTTAATTTTGTATTAATTAAATAAAAATTAAAATGTCTTATTGCACGGTATAACTTATTACACGGTGCTTTAATATGTACGGTTACGATATTTAAACCATTCATTTTGGTTGTGCTTTAAGTTGATATGATAACAGATTACCTGAAATTCTGTTTTTTTTTTCTTTCAAAATTATAGTTCTTTTTACCACGTAATCGGTAAAAAAATACGAAACTGAGAAGTAAATGTAACCGAATAAATGGTATTCTCTAAAGCTCAAATTTCTTCCGGCTATGGAGCCCTTAGTGTTCAACCTTCATATCTAATTTAACATGGCAAAATGGAAAATTTGAACAAAATCGGTTGAATAGTTCCTGAGAAATTTAATTTTAAAAAAAAGTCTTATGTTTAAAATTCGATATATCAGGAACTATTCGGCCGATTTCGCTTAAATTTTGAATTTTGTCTTGTAAAATTAGATAATTTATAATTACGCAAAAAGTTATATATCTTACAATTCAAAAGTTATACGACTGTTCTTAAATAAAATAATAAAAAAATAGTAAATATTTACTAAAATTTATTTTTTGCATTTATATTTTAGGATATACAAGTTTTATAATTGCTTGCAAAAATAGATTTTTCACTTCACTAAAAAAGTTCTCGAGATATAGCGAAATACCCAAAAAATAAAATTAACATTCGGAGGTTCAAACTTTGGATTTCTCTCCTGACCAACCTATGGGGACCCTATTTCCTGTATATTTGCTACCCCCTATTTTTTTGGGGTTAGAAATTCGAATCCGTCGAAAAAAAGTTGTGCTTATTCAGAGAAAGTGCATTTTTGTATATGATTTCGTAACTTAAAATATCGTCTGCATTTATTAATTAGTACCCCCTCGAGCCATTAAGAATGAGTCCTAATACGTGAAGATCCGATCATTTGATCGAAAGTTATTCAGGGTGATCCGTTTTTTATTTTGCCACCCTGTACATCTTTTATTAAGACCTGATATTAAAAATCAACGTTATTTTTTTATTTTATATCCGTCTCTTAACAGCCGACCCAGTTGTTGGGTTTACGATTACTAATGTGCAACGCCATAGCCTTGTAATCTTGAACCTAATCCAGAAGACGGAGAAACTCTTGGATCAAGTATTTGGAGAAATCTGTCCCCGTGGAGGACTTCTTGATGGAACTAAGAGGGGGAGACCACGGGAAACTCTCACGGTTAGTCTGCGCAGAGGGACTCTAACCCATGATCCGTCTACCACTGAGGATATTTCATGCCAGCACTGTGGCCGATGCAAGCCGGATGCGGAATTCGTATCGACCAGCCATTGCCGGGATTCGAACCCGGTTCACCTCGTTGGAAGGCGAACGCTCTATACCCTGAGTAGAAAAATACAGGACTGCGACTTTCTCACTTAAACCTAGAAGGGGGGGGGGGATTCACTCATATCTCGTGACAAGGGAGAGGAGAGCTAAAAATGTAATATTTGAACAATCCCTTTTGTACTTCGAAAAAATAATCAGAGTATAACTTCCCAGTAAATTATTTTCTTTGTCAAATATTCATTTACTTTGACCTATTGTCGCCAATATATTTTTTAAAAAAACTGTTCCGGTACGAAAAAAAATCATAAAAATGATCTTCTATTAATAATGACGTTTTCTTTCAACTGTAAAATGAAACTTTATACCCAACAAAGATTCACCGTTATAAGAAAATCGTCAAACGATACGTGACGATGGCACAGGTCATTGAATTCGACACAAATACTGTAGTTTCTGGCAAACTTAATAAAGAATGCCCCCTTCCGAATACTGCATTCGTTTTATTGTAAAAATTGTTACTTTAAAGTTTTTGCTACAATTTTTTTTTTAAATTTGATTTCTCAAGAACTATTCAACCAATTTTTATTCAAATTTCCTATTTTGCCATGTTAAATTAGATAAATATTATAAAAATAAAATGTCTTAAAATTTGATCTAAAATATCAGCATGGATGAGAAAAAAAAATCCAGTAGATTTTAGGAAATAATATAAATTTCATGATAACTGTTGCATAACATAAATAGTTTAAATAAAAAGTTCGAAACCAAAAACAAGGAAAAATGAAATTCTAAGCATATATATGTTAGCAAAATCAACACTTCATCAGGGGGCGCACTGTTTGCTATCACACTGGAGTTTTTTTGTAGTCAGTGGTTAAACCAAAAACTGACTGTGCCCCCATATTAGAAAAACTAAATAAGAATATGTAATAAATTCATAAATTCAATTATTGAAATGAAGGTGGAAATCCAATGATACACAGAGGCAAAAGTAAACTGAGAAAATACTGATAATGACGCATCTATATATAAAAAATATACGTTTTGCTTGTTTTTGGTTTCTAACTTTTTATTTAAATTGTTTACATACGACAAATTTGGTTTTAGCTGCTTTTAGCGCTTTTGACTAATTTTAATATTTTTTCTTCAAATTTGCTTAAATAAATTTCATACTTTATTGCATTATATACAAATATTAAGGGTTTTTTAGGGATTTTTATTGTCATCAAAATACAAAAACTTTATCATCTTTTAAGGTCTGGTTTCTTAGGACAAGCGCCTTATCTGGGCGTCGGCGTGACGTCAACGTCCCGCTGACGCCAACAAAATACTGGTTTGTTAGCTCAAGGCCTGGTTTCTTAGAACTAGCGCCTTATCTGGGCGTCAGCGGAAAGTTGACGTAGAGCTGACGCCAAAAAAATACTTTTTTGTTAGCTCAGCGTGAGCAGTCGGTCCAACGCAGACATTATCTCTCATTGCGCATGCGTTAATAACGTAAACAAATATTTATTTTGAATTTGTATTGATTTTGTTATTGTCGACCAGTGTTTTAGAGAACAAATAATGACTTTGTCCAAGAAAAAACACATTATAGCTGAGCTAAATGAAGAGTGTTATGTTTAATGAAGAAGCTATGTTTAATATCAAAATCTTGGCTGATTTCAATGTGCTGTTGAATGTTGTCCGCCATTGTTTCTGTGGTTAACGTCACGTTGTAGTTGAGTTGGACGGCAATTGTAGTTCAAGATAAGCGTTCGATGACGTATACTATCAAGCTCACAAATGGACCAATCAAAGGTTAGCGCTGATTTCCAGCTGACGGCGTCCTGTCCTAAGAAACCAGGCCTTTAGGTTTGTGCTATTTTCAGTTTATGGTCGACATTAAATGAACTTGAATTTGAAATGTTTTTTTAATTATGTTAACCCATAATTTTTAACACCAGAAAGACTGAAACTTAACATATACCTATATTGCCCAAAAGCAGTCAAAATGACTGCATTGTGTAAGAATAATGTGTAACGAAATTTGTTTAAAATTAATTTTTAATACTTTTTAGATTATTTACAGTTATATAAAGCCCATTTTTATATTTTTTATATTTATATACAGTTATTAGACGCACTATAAGATTCTATGTAAAATATAGTTATCACTTGATACTATACAGCTTTATTGTTTTTACACGACTGAAACCNCATAATCAATTAAAAAACGGTAAACTACCACAAACTAAAATTTGCAAATAATGGTTTAATTGTGTTAACTTTTTAAACGGTACAACGTGACCTTATTGCAACGAAGTGGTGAATTATATAAGCCTTCGGATTATTTAGAAATAGTGGTGGATAAAAACCTAATAAATTGAATATATTAAACCAAGAATCATAATTGATAAACTACCACTTTAAAATATGTTTGCTGTCCGGAGCAAGTTGGCATCTCTGCTATACAGCTGTATTATTTTTACGCGGTTCGCACTTGTTTATGTTAGTGCATCAGTTAGTTAACATCGTAATGCAATGCGTAAAAAAAATAATATATTAATGCAAATAGGAAGTATATAAAAAAATCTCCTGAATAAAACCCATTACATGTATGTTTAAATATAAATGCATTGCATACAAACTAGTGCAAAACATGTAAACTGCAGTTCGTCTAATAATTTGGTCTAATTACTAATTATAATATACTAATATAATACCTGATATAATAAATATTCTATATTTATATAATGGATCGTCTAATTTATATAATAGATCGTCTAATTTATATAATATATCGTCTAATTTAACCAATTGATACACTGACGTAAACAAGTACAAACCGGTTTCAGTCGCGTAAAAGCAATAAAGCTGTATCACTTGATAATTAAGAATTTACATAGAATCTTAGAGTGCGTATAATAATTTGCCCAGGGACTATACTTCTTCACGATTTTGAGAAAAGAATTGAGGAAGGTGATGAGAAAGGAGACGATAATATCACATTTTTCATGTAGTTCTGGGTGAAGAAATTGGTGCTTAAGTTGGTCTTTTCAATAAATAAATAAAAGATTAAGAATACAAATTTTTTATGAAGAATAAATACATTTAAATTTTTATGATTATTTTACATTTATATTTAAATTTTTTTAGTTTATAAATGATGTATAAAAAAATAAAAATTGACTGAAAAGGAAAACTAATATGCCAGAATTATTTATTAATTAAATTTGAAACTTCATTCCACTGAACGTAAATGATAATGGACTTTTATTTACAATAACTGCTATTAAAGCAGACTAAGTTTTTTTTTATAAAAAAAAAACACACATTTTAATAATTTTTTTTGTGAATTTGTACGAAAATACTATTCTTACAGGAATGCAATACAGATGCACACTGCTATGTTACGGATACCAACGCCCGTGTGTGTGTTTTAACGCATAAATAAAAATTACAGAGCCTGACTAGAAGTAGTTTTTTTTTTAAAGCGCTTTATTTAAACAGTAAAATGCTTAGATTTAGATACTTCAATTGAAAAAATAAATCAATAAAAAGATCAGATTTTTGAATTTTTTTTATTATTCGTCCAAGTGACACATAATTATGAAGCTCGATGAAA